TACCAAACAGGTCCTAAATAGCCTATAAAAAAAGTTTTAGAAGGTGTGGTCTTAGCTCTAATCAAAATAAATTAGATCCTCTAAATTAATTTAATCAATAATAAATCTTCATATATTGATTATTATCTTGAATATTAACTATACTATCTATGAGATGTAACTAAACAATTAATCCAAACATGACTAGGTTATGAGGCTGTCTGGATTAACTTTTTCAAATTAGTTGATAATTAATGATTAATATCTGATAATTGATAAATATTTATAATTTAATATATCTAATCTATTTAATTAAAACTAACTTGATAGATATTTCTAAAATGTAAAAACAAACGCCTCCTCTTGGACACAAAATTGAAAAGCAAACAGTTGTAATCCCACGCCTCAACCGGCTATTCTTGGGCAGTTGGCAACTTGGCAACAAAACCTACCTTACTATATTATTCCTTGTTTATTCCACTAATTTTCCCCTTATTCTCCCTTTTTTTTTTTTTTTTGGAAAAAAAAATAAAAATACATTACTCCCAATCACAACCAAATTTCATACCACAAGAGCAACAACAATCATCCTAACAGAGTGAAAGCCTTTCTCTGGAATCCTTCACCAAAGGTTAGTCAATTCTCTTCTTCAATTTAATCAGTTTTTTTTTTTTTTTTTCCTTTTTCCTTTTGAAAGATTGAATTAATTCTTCCGTTTTGAACTTTTAATTCGTCTTTTGCGTTTGAATTTCAGTTTGATTGAATTTTTTTGTGGTGTATTCTGATTATTTTGATTGCATTGTCCTGCCGGAAAAGTTCCACTTTTCCTTTTCTAGTCTTTTTTTTTTTTAAGGAAAAATGTTTTTTTTTTATTGACTTCCTGTTTGGCTGCTGAGAAAACGGTGGAAACAGAGAAGAAAAAAAATAAGACGATTTTTGTCGATTTTATTGTTCGTTTTCTGCTGATTGTTTAGTTTTCGACATCGAACCAAGTCTTTAACTTAGTTGATCACTTCGGATACGCTTTATCGATTGTAGATTCTTCTTTTAATGCTGTTAATGCTTCTGGCATTTGTTTGTTATCTGTGGCTGGAGTGATGAAAATCTAACATTTATGATCCAGATTGTTTTCTTTCCCTGCATTTTCTTGGAAACCAAACAGAACCTTAGGAGTTTGTTGTTACATACGAAACACATTTGCCATCATTATATCTTTGGTGAAGATAGCTGGCGCTGCGGGGTTGTGTTCAATTTTTCTTTTGTGGTATTAACTAAATTTTCTTCTGAGAATAAATAAGATTTACATTAGTTTTTATTTCTTTGTCTTGCTGTTCAAAAGTGAAGGTGAACAGAATAAATTTGGAATTTTAATTCTTAGCCTTTGGTATCAAAGAAATTGCTTAACCAAATGCAGTTAGTTGATTTGTTTTTACTATATTTGAGTAGCCAATAACATTGTTAGGATTTTGATTTTTTTTCTTTCTTTCTTTCTTTCTTTTACAGTTCTTAGCTACCAAACGTAAAATTTGACTATAAATCATTGCAAAAATTGTGTTTGTTTCAAAATTTTTCCTCTGTTGCTGCAATTCTTTGATTTCCATCATATCAACCATTCTAGACTATGCTACTATATTTTGATTGCATGAGCTTTTTTAAAATTTCATTGTTGCTTTAGTTTTGCTCTTTTCCTACATTAACAATTTCATTATTCAGCAGCCTTTTTGCACATTGGGACTTTATATGATAGCAGTCATGAGATTCAAAAAAGGAAGTAAAGTTGAAGTATTAAGCAAAAAATCAGTGCCATCAGGGTCGTGGCACCATGCTGAGATAATCTGCGGCAATGGTCATTACTACACAGTAAGATATGATGGCCATTCAGATGCGACTGACAAGATGACTTTGGAGAGGGTTTCTAGGATGGCTATTAGGCCTTGTCCTCCTCCAGTGAAAGTTTCAGATAATTGGTTTCCTGGTGATGTTGTAGAGGTATTTGACAATTTCTCCTGGAAGATGGCAACAGTTTTAAAGGTTTTGGGGAAAAAGTACATTTTGGTTAGGTTGCTTGGTTCATCTCTGGAATTCAGAGTCACAAATTCTTGCATTCGGTTGAGGCAATCATGGCAAAATGATAAATGGGTTGTGATTGGAAAGGTACTTTTTGCTATACCTCTATGTTCCTCACCCATTTCTTATTTTCCTGTTCCTGCATAATCATTTGCAAATTTTGAGTATTTTTAAACGTTTTATTTGTTAGTTTTCTTTCACTAAAGGTTTAATGTTATGCCTTGTGCCATAGTTGATATCTTCTCTACTGGAAAAAGGCCATCATTGTTGTTATTTGTTAGATTTCTTTGGCTTAGCCTGTCATTTTAAATGAAGTACATTCTTTACAAATGACATATGGCTAGATAGATTGCACCAAGGTCCAGCTGTTCATTTCTTAAGAAATCAAAATAGTCATTTATTGTTGCGTGCATGCAGGGTTCTGGCAGCTATGAAGATTGTAATTATGGTGTAAATTCTACCCCAAAGCACAATCAGAACTTGAGCTTCCAATTTCAGAGTACAAACAAAGGGACACAACAATATGGAAATTATGACTATCATCCTATTGAGAATGAGGCTTCTATTAAAACACTGAAGAGAGAATTCTATTCTCAAACTGATACTTTTGCAGCTGGACAGAAGTATAGAGCAGTTGAGAAAGATGGCAGATTGCACAGAGTGATTGCTGCAAATCCATCCTTGCATAAACAGGTAGATGCCATTGCTTTTCCCAGAAATATTCAAGTGGGAAAAGACATACATGCTTCTCTTAACAACAGAATAACTGGGTTGTCTAAAGTGGAAGCAGAGAGGAGAAAACCAACTGGTGCCATTGGATGTCCTTTGGTAGAAAACATAGTGTCAGATGATGCTGATAGTGTTACATGCTCTGTTGGTAGTTGTAGCATTGGTAGTAACAGTTTCTGTAAGTTGCCTTGTCATATTTCAACAGGTCCTAATGAAAATATTGATGGCCAGTGTAGTGATGCTGAATCTTTTTGTCAGTTGAGAGATGGAGAGGGAAATTGTCTCCTCCCTACAAAAGAAGAACTGGCAGCTGAAATCCATAGGTTAGAGTTGCATGCCTATCGTTGCACCATGGAGGCATTGCATGCATCAGGACCTTTAACTTGGGAACAAGAAGCTTTAGTGACAAATCTTCGTCTTTCACTACATATATCTAATGATGAACATTTGATGGAGCTAAGAAACTTAATCTCTGCTGATAACAGCATTCCTAGTAGATGACAGGAATCTTGCTGGTTTTTTCTCTCCATTTTTTCTTTTACTTAGCTATAGACTGAGATAATCATTTCTTTTATGGTCATTCCCCATTGTAAGAAGCTCGATAAAATTTTCTATCAAATTCTCTCTTTTTGTTTTACAACACAGAGATCTACTTTGAAATGAATGTAACACCCAAACTGCAAAGCAGTATATGATTTTAGGAAATCATTGTGTACGAATTATCTGTGTGTGTGTGTGTGTGTGTGTTCCCCTTTAACGTGCTCTATCATCTTGCATCATATTGTAAAATATATTTCAAAAATGCATCACAAATTTGCAAACAATTGGCAGATCTTGACAATGTATTCTGTTTGGTATTTTTGCCATATGTATTCTATCTGCTTAAAACAGAAAAATGATTGTATTCTTCACACTATCCTGTTATGTTTTGCATTTTTATGCATATTGGATGCATATCAGATTTATGCTTTTCAATATGAATCTTTGGTTGCAATGATATCTTGTAAAATAGACCTCTGATTATTGTGATCATTGTTTCCCGTTTTCTGTTAGTCATTTGTAATTTTTACACCTGTATCCATAGTTTTATAAATTTCCTTTCTCCTATTGATATGAATATGCTCAGGGAATAATAGTCTGAATAGATGGTGCTTGCCATATGATTTATCAGTGTAAAGCAGCTTCATTTGTGGACATTATTTGATGCTTCCCCTGCCTTTCCAGGGCTGAAGTAGGGGGCTTGTAGACCTCACTTCCAAGTTTCCACTGACGATATTTGGTTTGCCACATTTCTCTTGGTTAAAATCTGGGGAAATTTGCTGAAAAACTAAAGATGAGCTGCTAATTTTGCTAATTTATTTGGTTTCTGGATTCATCCATTTCAGGCCTCCTGTGAGCCTTAGATCTCTGTGTTGCTGGTGGATGCAAGGCAGAATCTTGTGGCTGCCATGGGATGACCTACTTTGAGGGTGCTCAAAAGGTTCCATTCCAAACCTTTCATAACATCATCGATGTATTGATATTCTGCTTCCTAATATGTTTCTCTTTCATATTCTGGAAAGTAATCACATTGAAGCCATGATGCTCATGTTCTTTGTAGTCCTCTTTCCTATTTGATTCTTTTTTCAATAGCGAATTCTAGGAAATTCTCATAGAAGACTGATAGATGATCCCTGCAAATTGTGCATGTTAAATTTTGAGTTCCTTGTAATAATGAAATTGCATGGCGAGTATCTGCTGATGCACATACAACATGCCCGTGGTTATCACATGAACAAAGCTTCCTAATGAAGCTTGGAAGGCACCCAATGGATGAAGTGTTTGCCCTATGGTTGAGTTTGGTTCTCTAGTAGCAGGTCTAGGATTTGATTTCCAGTAACTGCCTTCAGATTGTGGGAAGAGCTTTTTGAACCTAAAAACACAAACTGCACCAAACACCATAGCTTCTCAAATGTGGTTAACTTCTCAGAAGTTGGTCTTCTCCCCATTCCTTTGCAAATCCCGGAAGCATCAATTTGGTGCTTCTGCGGGGAGCTTCACTTTAGGATTAATGAAATTGACATAATATTTCCATTTTATCCTCACACTTCCTTCTATTTACAAAAAAACCACTATATATAAGGTTCATTTATAACTTTCCTCTCAAGCAGCAGAATCCTGCGTTTCTTCTCCCTGCCTTCCTGCCCATCTTCTTCCAAGAGAAATCTGGAAAATCCCCGCCGTTAGTTACCGGCTTTCTTTCTCCCTAACTTTCAAAGCAGAAAAGCACAATTCAGCACCAAAATCCCATTTCTCCTTCCTTCTTCTGTGTGTCTCCTTCCTTTTCTCTGATTTTTTTTTTCCTTTTTTGGTGTTTCTGCTACTAATTTGGTGGTGATGAATGATGATTGTTGGTTGGTAATGTGAGTTGGTGAGAGAGTTAACCGAAAATCCCTTCTCGTTACCCGTCTTCGTCCATATCTGGGCCACGTGACGACCGTCGACGATGGTCAACCACCGACGACCGCCCAGACCACTGCAATAATCATCGTCTTCTCCCTGAAAATCCCTATTTGCTGTTACTTACTGTGAGACTGCAACGAGCTTGAGGATCTTGAGGATCTGTTACTTACCGTGAGACCGCGGACCCATTGCTACCGGATCTACAAAGCCTGCAGTATGCTCCCATTGCTCCCCTTTCTTTTCTTTTTGATTCAAGATTGTTTGAAGATTTTTTATTGGTTATTACTGTTTCTTCTTCTACTTCCTCATGTCAGAAGAATATGTGTCCTGTACTCTGCCATTGTTTCCGCATTTTTCTTCAACTTGTTGTTTCTATTTATGGATGATAAGCTTCATGGGTTTGTGGCAAAGAATTGGTAAATCGTGATGCTTGTGTGCTCTGCCTCCTGTTTGCAGTAAATTTTTCTTCTCTATTGAAATTATTTTTGTTGTGAAGAAAGCTGAGGAAAGGTGAAGAAGAGTAGAATAGAGTACTGTTTTTTGGTCTTTGCTGAATTAGTCCAATAAATTTTGGTCTTTGCTGAGGAAAGGATTTCTCTTTAACCCTTTATTAATATATTTTTGTGGAATTATCGTAAATGAGATTTATTGTGGAATATTCATGTGTGAGTAGTGTATGATTTCTTTAAGTGATTAGAAAAAGTTACGAATGTTAATTTCTAAACCTTGAATTGTATGCCTTGGAATTAGAAACTTGCTGTAGATGATTCCTTTTTGTGAAGTGTATGATTTCATTTGATGTAGTGTGAGCATTAATTTGCAAATGGATTGCCATATGTGAGTGTAGGAGCCAAAGGCTGCTTGAGCAAAATCAAGCTCAGATTCCAAGTAAGTAAGCAAGACTTGATTTCACCTGTCATGGGTTTTGATTGTTCGGAAATAGGATTTTGCATTGAGTAGATTTGATGCCGTATTGTTTGCTTCACCCATGATTATGATGATATATATTTTATGTGAAACCCAAAAGGAATTCTATTTTTGGTTATTTATCTAGTTGTTGTTCAATTCAATGTATGTTATAAAACCTATTTCTCTTTGTTTGTTTTAAGGTTAAAATGTCTGAAACTAAGACTTGTGTTATTAATTTGCAGAAAAGTATATGAATTGAGTTTATCAGACAGTGGCAGTCAAGGTTCTACAGGGTCATTATCTAGTTTAAATGGTTCAAAATGTTCTGTAGTGTGGTCTTGTGGACAACTTTCAAACCTTTGGACTCAACCAAGATGCCTGAATCTGTGAGCAGCAAGCAAAATGTGAGCACACACTCAATTTCTGAATGATGGACTTAGTGAAGCAATGGATTGTCAGAGGAGCAAAAGGAGAGGGTTAGGTTGTCACAAGTTGGTAAAAAAAAGGACTTTGTTCATATGGAGGGGATATAGGGGCAAAACATTAATGTGGTTCAAGGACTCGAGCTTCATATTGGGGTTTCAATGCTGAGGAGCAAAAGAAGATTACGGAATGTATCTATGATCTACAGCAAATGGGCTAGAAAGGACAGCTTAGAGGTAAAGTCCATGTGAAGTCATAAACTTTTTGTTTTATGCTTTGACTTGGAATATTGTTATCCATCCTAAATTGTCTTTTATTTACCCAAATTGGAAGCTGTTCTTGCTAGTGTCAGTCAGTATTAAGTGAACACAATATGGAATATGATTGATTTGTTTGATCAGATACCATCCTAATAAATTCAGCACTCTAACCATCAACACAAGGAGCATCCCATTGCGGCAAACTTGATGTTTAGGGAAATGGCTTTTTAGTAATTAATACATTAATTAGTTTTAAGCTTATCACAAGAAAGTATAGAATAGAGATGATGTTGATTTATAGATTTGCAGTTGCAGTTCATTGAATTGCTTGAAAATTGTTCGACTATCTAACTGACCCTTTTTACTTTAATGTCTACAGAGTGTACATATTTGGAACCTAGAAAATGGATGCGTGGGAAAGGGCGTGTGACAATACAACTTAGTTGCTGATACAATTCTGTAGTGCTACAATTGTTATCTATTTTAAATATTAATCTTTATTTACTACTTAATTTGAATAATTTGGTTCTATCTTCAAATATATTATATGTTGGATTTTAATGTCAATTTCAATTCATTTTTAATTTTTAGTAAGTATTTGATATTTGTTTAATTTTGCAAAATAAAAAAATATATATTTGGAAATGCAGGAACATTTTTTTGTTGCGTTTTAAAACGCTGGCTTTTAGCCAAAAAAATGTTGTATTTTCCTTGTTTTCTTGTAGTGACATTTAAGAAAATGGGTACCTCGTTTGATGGATTGTATAATGGCTATTTCACAACATAAAGGGAACATGAAGATTTAACGCAAACAAAAGAATGGGCTTGGCTGAGCGCATGAGCTTGAAAGTGAGGATTTATGCAACAAATTATATTGTAGTGATTTTTTTTAGAGTACTTTGGTTACTAGACTAGCATTAAGATTTTGATTATATATATGATACCTTGATGTCTTTAGATTTTTTTTCAATAAAAATAATTATAGAATTGTTGATAAATGATATAGGTTTCTTGATAATTAAATTAAAAAAAAAAAAGAGAAATAATGCTTTTTTTTTTAAAAATGTTTTTTCATTTTTAATAGAAAATTAAAATGATTTTTATTATCAATTTTTATTTTTATTTTCTTATTTATAAAATTTAAATGTAGTACGTTTTATTTTTTAACATTAAAATATAAAAATTTATTTATCTATTAATATGAAATTATTAATTACTAATAGTTATATTTTATAAATATAAAAATTTTATTTATAATCATTAACTTTAACATAATTAAATTAAAAAAATTAAAACTCTACCAAAATGTCAAAAAAAAGAGAAACAATACTTTTTTAAAGAAAATGTCTTTTTTAATCATTTCAAAATTAGAAGATCTTATATAAAAAATTTTACCAAACAACTTTTCATTTTACAAGTACTATAAAAAATTTTACCAAACAATTTTAACTTCTTAAAAATAATATTTCTACAACAGATTCTTTTTAACAAGATTTCTATTAAAAGCTCCAGAATCAAATGGCCCTAAATTCCACTAGCCAGGTGTGGTTTGTCATGGAAGATAGAGTCTTTAAGGATCAACAAACATTTTATGTCTTGCATAATTGTGTCCCTTTTATTATATTGTAACAACTGTGCCAATGGACAATGGTTGATGATATTTGCAATTGCAAAAAATAAACTATGTTGATAGCCAGCATTTGCCTGCTGGTATAGCTTCCTGGCAGAAACAGTTACTGATTGATTCTTCTTTTTACTTCATTTGGGAAATTGTTTAAATGGCATTCTTCCATGGAAGTCATGTTTCCCTTAATAATGACCAGTGATCATTGCAATATAAGTAATCGAAGGGTAGGAAAACTTAAATAGTATTTCTAGCTTAGGTGGGCCTTCTAACTTTTAAATGGTTATTCATGGATTTATATTTATTTTCCCTTTATAAAAGTACATACAAATCTTTGTTGTTTTGTGGTTCTAATTATCTCTAGCAGCAGTTTTTCTTAAGTTAACTCAATAAATAATTTCAAGCTTAGCAGTGTCTTGTTAGGGTTGATTAGTATTGATCTTGTTAGTTTGCTCTCAGAATTTTTGATCTTGCTGAGGATGTCTTGCTGTCGAAAAAACAGCTGTGTCATAGATAAGCTTCTCTCTAGTCTGTATGTCTGCATGTGAAGTTCATTCTGGTTTTTGTTTTCTAGTGAAGTTGTCTTTTGCAGGAAATCAATCTGTAGCCTGATGCTAAATCCATGGTGGGGCTTGTTGAAGCCTGTAGACATGTTGTCCTGAAGCAAATTCCCTGCATTGTCCTTATTAGCTTTTGCATGGACAAGAATTTTGCTTCTTGGATCCTGGTCCTACCTGTTTATATTTGTATGTTTTACGTTGGAGGAACATTGTGGGGGCTCCAGACTCTTCCAAAAAGATTGTTAACTTAGTTAAGTAGTCATTCAATCACATTCTTGGTGATGAAATGGATTTTTCTTCTGCTAATCCGTTGCCAGTATTAAGACTAGTTAATGCTTTTATTTGTTTTTGTCACAGGCGAAGATCAAACACTGGAGGATGCTTCCGTGCATTCAGTTCTTTTAGTTACAGAACCCACACCTGCTCTGTGATTACCCCACGAAAATCAGTTGGACTCTCAGATCCATTCAGTTTGGTTCGATGGATGGATGGATGGATAGTGTAGGATAGTTACAGAACCCACACCTGCTCTGTGATTACCCCACGAAAATCAGTTGGACTCTCAGATCCATTCAGTTTGGTTCTTCAATTTGAATTGTGGATGAGCTTGAAAGCAAGCAAAATAACTCAAGGCAGATGCAGATGGTAATTTAGTGCTAGTCTGATGGTAACTGTTAGTGTTAGCCCACGTGCTTTTCTTTTTGGGCCAGTCATTACTGTCCAAAGCAAACCCCATCAAAGTTCATATCACGTCTTACCCCACTCCCCCTCCCTTCCAGACGAAAAAAATTTAATGTTGATTCAACATCTATGAAAAGCATGAATAATTTTTGTATTTGTACAATCTTGTATTGTAGGTCTTACTTGCAACAAAGGATTGACATCGGTGCAACCAATTTTTACACCGAAGTAGCAGCTTCATTTCAGGAATATTCTTGTACGGTAATTTTTACTATTTCCTGCTCATGTTTCTTTCTCCTACATTAAAAATTAATCAACTTATTTTAGTAGCTCACCAGTTATTGGTAGCTTCATTTAAAAGTGAGCATTGTGGAACTTTTTTGTACGTTGCTTCCTTTCTGTGTTTTTTACTTCCTTGAGGGGATGGGAACTAAAATGGACGGCTACAAACACTTTGTTTAGGGTATCTGCTTTGTTGGTTATAATCTTATACCTTGAACACTACCGTTTTTATTTATTTATTTTTTTAAAAGTAATAAAAGGAAGGTTCATTAGAAACCGAGTAGACATGGTAATTAGGTATAGTATCCACATAACATGTTAGCTAAATACTGCAAATATATGATTGTAGAACAGACTTGGTAATTTTACCAAATTGAGGGAAGATTTTACCATCTTGTTGTCACTCTATCCATGTATTTTTTTGGTTTTACGAATATGGCATATCAGACTAAATCACCTCTATTATCACCTAGCAAGGGCACCTCTGTATAGGGTACTTCATTGTTGATATGCTTAAGTGGGTGCTTCATTTGTCCCCATGAATGAAGAACATGTTCAACAATTAAATTTATTCCATTATAATTTAATGCTATTGTGCCAGTGGTCTGATCCATTTTCCATTATAAACGAAGAATTTATTCCATCTTTTTCTTAGTAGAGTCTCTGCCTCCCCCAGCATCTGCTTCACCAGAACTTCCAACGAGTACCAAACTCAGTTCAATGGAAGTATGCAGCAAATTCTAGTCGAAGGCTTTTCTAATTTAGTTTCAGCTGCTTACATCATCTTCAATTATGAGATTCCAGTCACATAAGTACTTATTTTGAGTGCCTTTTAGTGGGTAAATTTCTTGTTAAGTTTTAGTAAATCCAGTTCATGAAGTTCCTCCTAAAAAATTAACTCTTAGGAAGCTAGATTTTCATGAAGTTGAATTTGCTGATGCAATTTATCGACAAAAAGACATATTTCTGATGATTTTAACATCTCATTAACTTGTTGATTTGCTGCCCCGCTGGTGCCTAATTTATGTTGATCTCTTGTCTCAGAGGGAAGGAATCTTTAGAAGACATGGCATGCTGCGTATGAACCGTGTTGCCAAATTAATAAAGGCAGTAGAAAACCAAAAACATCCAGTTGCCCCTAAACTAATATAAGGGAAATGGGAATACATTAAATAAACAGGAGAAGGGCATAGTTGGCTCTGTCACTGGAATGACCAACAAGGTTCCAAGCTGTCATTCCTCTGGTCAGTATATACAGACAACTTAATAGTGATAATTCTGAACTTTAAATCAAATTCTTATTTATTAGATACTGATTTGAGTTTTATTTTTCTCCATTTTGATGAGGGTTTGATGGATGGGATGCCTACAATTCAGTTGTGCATTTATGTGGCTCCACCAGATCCTCTGCTGTTGTCTCATATGCATCTTTTCATGATTGGTATTCCCATGTGACCATGCCCCTGCTAAATGAGGGACATATTTTCTCTAGGTTTTAGCTGGACCCAGGCCTATATTTTGTCCTTTATAATGGTTATCTCAGTTTTAGTTACGAAAAAAACGAAAATAAAGAAAAACATGTAATCTTTTTCATATAAATATATAATGCAATTCAAGAAGAGCAGATCAAACTTGTCAATCACTTTTTGATCAGAGGTAGAAAAGTAGATCAGCTACCACCATTGTTTCATTGGTGTATGGTGCAAGTTTGAACTTTCCACGTTAATTTCATAAAGGAATATTCCAAGCTAATGGGAATCAATTAGCTTAAGCTCTAGTTGATAAGCCTACATAATTCTTTTCAATAAGGATTTAGTTACAATATTTTTCTTTATATTATTTTGTATAGTGTGAAATAGTATCAAATAAGTAAATGCATATTAATATATATGTCTTATTAAGTAAAAAAGGTCAATCATAAAATGATATTGTAGCTTCTACACCATATCATACTAAAAACATTGTAAGAGAAAAAAAATGATAGACATACTATGATTTTAGATATTACTCTGAACAATTTGACATGATTTTTAATGTTTGATCTTTTTTATATAAAAACAATATATAAATTATTATGTATTTATTTATTTGATATTATGTCATATAATACAAAGTATTATACAAAAAAAATATTGTACCATTAATATAAGAGAAAACACTGTAGCTCAATCATTTTCGAATTTTTTAGCATTATGCTATGCATTTAGAAACTTCATTCCTGTACTTTTAACTTAGAAGGTCAGCATATTATAATCCTGTTCATTTTGATGTGTCGTTGGAGAAACATCGTTGAATAGTCGCAATGCTAAGGGTTGCTGCTTTCGTGGATTTAAATGGCCGACTAAGCAACCTAACTTATTCAGACAAATGTCACTCGCTCATTTCTTGAGAAAATTTTTTTTGCAGGACAGTTACGTTTGGTCCCAATCTTAAATGTGACCATCATGTGACAGTGCTTGAAGATTTTAAGTATTATTACTACCTTTCATGTCACTCTTTTATTACTCTGATTCCATACGTTGTTGTTGTCAATAGAAAACTACTTTACATGAAAAATGACAGCAATGAGGTTTTTGCTTTCCCTATTTAATGTCTTTATTTCCAGTTTGGATCTAACTCTGTGATAACTCTTTGTTTTGCTGAAGGGTGGCTCAATTAATTAAAAACTAAAAATTAAAAATTAAAAATTTTATATTTGAATTTTAAGTTTCGTGAAGAGAAATTTAATAAATAAAAAAATTATGTTATCTTGTATAACTTATTATTATATGTAAAAATAAAAAAAATAAAAAACAAAGAAACTCTCTTTTCTGGCTTTTTAGGCGGAAATCTTATGTGCAGGGAAAGGTAATTTTAGTTTGTTAAGACATATGTTACTACTATCAGATTAGTATTATTTTCAGTTTAAAGATGTAAATATTCAGCTTGATTAGGGTTTAACTGTTTTTTAAAATTATTCATGCTATATATATGTTTATTGGAATAAAGGAGATACCAGTATGTATGTTGATGTGGATACCTTTAGTAAATATTATATTAGTTTTTACTGTCTTGTTAATTGTTATGATACTTTTGGAATTTCTTCCATGTGCTCGTCTCAATATGCTTATATGTGTTTTCTGGAATTATTAGGTTGAAAGTCTTTTATTGAAATTTTAGGATGGGCAATGGAAGTTTTGAAAAGAGAAAGCTTACCACTAATTGTATAGGTCACTGAAAAAGACATGTTTAGGTCATTGTTAATTTAATTAATTGTTCTGATTAATTATTTAATTCAATTAGAAAAAGATATTTCGGTTCAAAGAGGAGAGACTATTAAGGTTAACTTACATCCTCTCTCTCTCTCCTTCTCCTTAGTTCCTTCACTTTTTCTTAGTTTCTCTTTGTCCTTAATTATCTCCTCCTCTATGTTTTTTGGTTTTAGAGAGGATGAATAAATGTGAAATTTTCCCCTTTAAAATTCTTTTTTTTTTTTTTTTGGGTGAGAGTTTCTCTTTATTTTAGAGATTTTTGTTTCGACCCTTTAAATATATTTTCATTAAGTTTTCAGTGGTCAAGGAAGATAACACGGATGTATAGCTGGCTAGGCTATAATTGGTATTAGTGATTATTTTGGTTTATGATGACATAGCTAACTAATCATTCTGGTCCATAAGTTAGAGTATCGGATAGGATTTCTCAAATGTTTTAGACACACAATTGGGCAGTCTTTCTAAATCTGTTTGCTCTTTTTATAAAGGTTTTTTTTATATAATCTCTAATAACCAATGTTTTTATACATAATTATCCATATATGTTATGGGCAAAATCACTTTTTAATACTATAGGTTTAAGGAGTATCATTATATAATCTCTTTGCTTTATTATTAATGAATCTTATTATTCAGAATAAAAAATAGTGTTGTATCGTCAAAAAAATAAAAATCATATCATGAATATTTAAGTGAAAATCGAAGTATCTTCTTCAACTGAAAATCCACAGCTAATATGATATGACAACTGAGAATGAGAGATCACAAAATGAATATTGAGATATTTATAGGGGATTGTCACGCTCATGGTGCATAATTACAATGAATATATGGTAGTAATAATGTATGTCCAAAACCCGAGAAGGGGAGGACATGCCAACTTGCCATTTGTTGAGTGAGTACACAGACAAGGTCGCGGTAGACAATGAGCCAGCTCAATCACATAGGCATGAGACATTTGAAGAATAAGCCAATGGAGGGCTTTTGATTATGCATGATATTCTGCTGCAGCAGATATGTTTTTATTTATTTATTTTTTATTCACAATCAAGGTGCTTTTAAATAAGTTTTTGTATATTTTAAAACTAATATTTTTTTTTCAAGTAATCATAAGGGTATATCCCTTTATCAAGTTAATACATTTAAGAAAATTAAAATTTTTAGATATTAAATCCAAAACTTGAACTATTAATCTAATCTATAAAATGATATTTGTTTACCATTGGATTCATGAGTAAATGTGCAAATAAGAATATCAATTTTATAATTTTTTTTATTTAAAAATGTTAATTCTGTTAATTTTTAAATAAAGATATCAATTTTCAACATTTTTATTTAAAAATATTAACTTTCAAATTTTGTTATTTAAAGATGCTAACTTTCAATGTTTTAGTTAAAAATCCATTTACCACATTAGCATCATTATTCAATTAATCCTTAAATAGAAAACGTTTAAAGTTGGTATCCTTAAATAAAAAAAATTGAAAATCAACATCCTTAAATAGAAAAAATTGAAAGTTAACATCCTTATTTAAAAGTTAACAAAGTTAACATTTTTAAATAAAAAAAATGTAAAATTAATATCCTTATTTACACATTTTCTTGAATTCATCCCTCAAATTTAGATATCTTGTTATTGCTAACTCTTTTATTTCTCTACAACATTGTCTGAGTATTGTTCCTCAAAATCATTTCCTCTTAACTGCTAAATAATGAGATCATTACCGGATTATTAAGTTGTTGATCATTTGTGTAGATCTGTTATGAAATTTAATTTCTAGAGGGGGATTTGTACAAACCCATTATTTTCTACTAATTCTTAATTTCCTCATAATCATACTTTTGTAAAGCTTATTGTTAGTTTCGATTAGTATCTACTAGCATCTAGATTTCATGTGTAGTTCTTTCTTTCTTTTAAGTACATTACGAGTTCACAAATAACTCGTTGATAACAAAATCCATACATGCTATTGATTGACTTTTTTCAATTGGTAAAATGTGTGAATCGATATATATATATATATATATATGCATTATTAGTTTGATATTATGTAGTCGTTGTGAGATTTTATTGTCAATGAATTATTATAGATAAAAGTTAGTTGTGTAATTATTGTAAAACTTTTCAAATTCTTATATTGACCCAAAATCAAGATTTTATAGCACTTGAGCTCCAGCTGGTACCTATTAGTTAGAACTTGATTTTTTCAAAAACTTGGACAAGTTAGTTAGTAGTGTCTATAACTCATTAAGACAAAGAATTAAAAATCTTTCAATTTGGTTTTACTCATCCAAGAAAAATAGACACATGACTCTT